CTCCTGTTTGCATTAAATGAAGGGGTGCCATTCCAACATCTTCCCAGTGCCACTAGACTTGCCTTGGAAAGTGGGAAACTTGCCTTGTGTGTGGGAAACACAACTGCCCCAGCCTGCCTCCCTTGTGCTCTGTGTGCCTGTTTAATGTGATCAGCAATGTGTACAGCTTGCAAGGGAGAATAAGGCTGATTCTAGCACATGGTTAATTAAGACATTACAGTTAGCTATTTGCTAGGCAGGCTCAGGGGAGTAGTAATAGGATATGGAGTCTTTCACCTTAAGTTCAGTCATTCTTACCCCCAAATTCCCAGGTAGTGATCAGTAATTTCTCATTAACCCTGACACAAGCTGAATCCAATTCCACTCAGGCATGTGGATGAGTTCCGAGCACGTGTCTGCCAACAAGGAGTGTCAGTATCTCTGGTAATTAAACTTCAAAGTGAAGAACCCCACTGCTGTAAGTGAGCAGCAGAAGTTGATGTTTCCCTGTGGCATTATTTTAACTCCTCTGTTGTTGTTGTCTCCAATCTCAACAGCTATCAAAAGCTGTCATATCAGCAGATATAGATTTAGGTTTTGAAGGCTACAAATTGACTATTGTTCTTAGATTCTCCAGCAAGGCAAACAATTAGTAGTAATACCACATAAAAGTTGGGAAAACCTAGTTTAAAAAATACCCAATACAACACCTAAATTATATGCATCTCCAAGAGGTCCCCTAATTTCATGATCCTACCTGCACTGCCAAGAATGTAAAGAATCATTGGCTCTTGACATCATTTTCTTGCCAAAGGGCAATTACCTATTCTGTATGCATTGCCTTAATCATGTCAAGTTGTGTCTCATAAATTTACATTTCTCCCAAGGAAGCACTGTGCATTGCCAGCAGCCTGAGAGGCCAGATCAAAACAATTTCTTGGTGTGTGTTTACATCAATTTTTGGCTTCTGAGCTGCTTTAGCTGTAGTTGCTCTGCAGAGCAGCACAAATTCACTCTCTGAACTAAGCTGCATCAGAGATAGAGGGGGGAGTAGCAGAATCTGGATGGATGGTCCTTCCCAGAACCGAGCAATGCTTTCTAGATTATTGAACTGCAAATCAGCTACACAAATGAAACCACTTGCTAGAGATAAACACAATCCTCTGAGATGGGCTTGTTGTCACAGTTGGAGAGGGAGAAGGAGAGAGAGCACACACACACACTCGTGTGACTAGGGGCGTAATGAATGCCAGCTTCCCTCCTGCCTCTCTGGGATATGTGAGAATGACAAACTCTCTGAGGAACAATTCCTTTGACTGGTTCATTGAGGAAAGGAAACTTGTCATGCTGCCAAGAATAAAACTGCTCCTGGGCTTAGTTTTGAATTTTATAAAGTGAATAAGTGAAAAATGTATACACATTCACTTCAGACCCAAGTCATTAATAATTAAAAGAATATATAATTGTACCCAGTTTTCCCCTCAAGCTCAACCAGCAAGGATGTCTTCTGTCCATGTAACAGGGCATTTCATGTGTTTTGTGTCTTTTTCCAGGAGCTGTTGGAAGTGAGTTGAACTGAATGCATCCTGCATGCAGGTAGGAGTTACATCCTGACCATCAGAGTACACACAAAAACACAAACTCAGAACTCAACTGTTTGTATCAAGGAAGCTGCAGAATTTTGATTATGCATAAATATTTTCCTGGTATGAGTCATCCACAATTGATACTGGATTTAGACCAGAATATGATAAAAATTATAATATTAAGACAGCATTTTTGTAGACATTAATACTGTAAATTGCAAAGATTGGATATTTTTTATAAGGCACAGGAAGGTAAGAATGTTTACCATGTCAAAAATAATTTTTGTTTTCTGAGGTTATATTCTGCATATTTATTTGTATCTAACTATTTCCCTCTTCTGAGACAGGCACATTTCCCAGTACATATTTAGGAATGCTGAATTAACAGTATAAAAACACATTGGTCTGCAATTCTACTGCTATACTGGAATTATCTAGTGGTACCTACCTGTAAGGAGATGCAAGAGATCTATTGCTTTTATTTTTCTGCATTATTCCCATAATTAATTCCCAGTTTTCAGCCAAAATTAAATTCAGGATTAATATTCACTTTTCTCTTGATGGCATAGAAGTTGGCAAGTATGGTATGAACAGCCATGTATTTAGTACCTTTCACTTGCAATACAGAAATCTTATTTAAAGACTAATGAAAAACATTAACAAATTCTGTAAACAAAACAATCATTATACATTCCCTCCCTTCCAAACACAGACAGGAAGTTTCTCATGGGTAGCAAGCTGGCTCTTGCTTCCTCTGATACCAGTATGGCTGTTTGTAGGCAACACACTGTGATGCTCTCTGATAGAGAAAAAGATATAAAACTCCTTGAAAATCATACACAGAGGGGATCAGTAGATTGTATGTAGGTAATAGCTATGTCCTTGAAACAGCAAATGTGTGGGATTTTGTTTGACTCTTAGAAGGAAGCACATTTTGTACTTCTGCAGCTGAATTCCAAACACAAGTTCTTCATGTAGACCTGACTTAGAACTTGGCTTCTTTTCAACAACAATTTGTTCAGAGATGGAAAAAGACAAAACACCAAAGGGGTGTGTTAGGGGATGTGAAGCAAAAGTCTGCTTAAAAACTAATCCACTACAGCATCATGAGCTGTACCTGAAGTAGCTCAGGAAGCTTGGGAAGGGAGAACACAGGGACACAGACTGTGTGAGAGTCACTTTCAGATCAATAACTTATCTCATGATATGCAAAGACTGTGCAACTCAGCTATCATTGCAGTGGAACAACTGAGTGCAACAGAATGGCTTTAAAGAGGAGGTGATAGAAATATCAGTAGTGAAGCAGAATGTTATAGACCACCTACCTCTTATCCACATATATGAAAACTGCTACTCTGTAACATGTTGATCTTGAAGTTTCATATCACTGTTCTCCAAGGCAGGAGCTAAATTATTTTTATGGACTACAAAAGAAAGTAAACTACAACCAAAAATCTTACCATCAAAAAAGGGCAAAATCAAGTTGCAAAAAACCCCATACTAAAGTATATGGATTTCCTGTATAGGTAAAATGGAAAGGAGGAATTCTGTACAAATGCAGTCTCCACATCCACCCCTACTGGGACAGACTTTCCAATTAATGTTTTCAAGCTCCAACATTTCTGAGCTGTTGCTTGAACCAACTTGAAAGGGAGGCATTTCCCATCTAGTTGATGGAGGGTTTTCAGATTACTAGAAAATGTTTTTCTAATATGTAAAATGTGGAAGGACCATAAAAAAGGGGAATGTTTTGTATTCCACTACTTTTGATGACATATTTCTATGTAAAGGTTAATTGTCAATTATGTCAGACCCTGAAATTGTGTAACAGTCGATTTTCCCCATGCACAGGACAAAATACATACAACAGTGCATTATTCCTTCAAGACTGTTCTCTTTGGTAATGCTTCCATGTCAGAAACTGCTTCTATTTGCAATTATCTGATGTTTAAAAATATCATTATTCAACATTCTCCAGTAGTTGGCTCTGACCTTTAGTTTGCTTATTTTCTCGGTTCGATTTGAGCACTAGATGGATTTTCAGCTATCTTGTGCCACCTCGTGTAAGAGATGGGAAATTACACAACTTTCTGACCACCGTGACCTGATTTTGGCATTGGAGTCCTACAGATGATGTTTTTGCATTTTGAATACACTTTTCAGTTTATCAGCAGCTGAAGCACATTTTTAAAAGTATTTAAAGTATTTAATATGACAATTTTTCTTAAAACGTGATTTCTTTATACTTAAGCTAGCTCTACCTTTACATTTGTAACTTTTATATGATAATGTATACAGCTCTCAGGCCATCTGCTGTGCATGATACTAGTTCTTTATGAATATATTTTCAATATTCTAATTAATATACCTTCATAATTGTGCTTTTCCCCCTGTTATTTATATTTATTTGCTGGTTGGTGCTGCTTGCTTTTTCTTTACTGGTATTTTTCTTTCTCATGTTTTCCTCTATGCATTTCTTGCACCCTTATATCCCTTTTTAATTCCTTCCACACTTCTGCATATCAGTCACATTCACTCTAAGTTCGTTTAGTATCCTACCATAAAACAAACTGCTGCTATTGTTGTGTCTATTGGGCAGTAGATCAGCTGTGATCAAGTCAGTAACTGTCTGTATATTATGTGTTACTAGAAAGTTTTAAACTTTAGCCAAAACTTTAATTCTAGTTCTAAATCTAGTACCATTACAAACTGGCACGTGAAAGAGATAAAAGAAATCAGGTTTATCTACCTTTTCATGTTTTACTGTGATGAAGGTCCGTATTTTGGATGCTGTATTTATTCAGGTGAAATTGTAGCTGCAAATGATGTGACGATTCTGAGGTTTGCCTCGGTACTTCGGCTACCGCTGTGTTAATGCTGACATTACCTGTGCTCTTTTCCCTCATGCAGGAGGTACCCCCCCGTGCTTTTGACACTCATCTTACACCTTCTTGGGCTCCTCGGCACTCCAGCCCTGCACACACAGCTCAGCGAGCGGATTTGACTTTTTCCGTCCCGCGGGGCGCGACCCAGGATTGGAGCTCTCGGGTCAGTCCTGCGACAAGCGGCACCGGGCAGTGGGGGAGGGCGGTCCCGAGTGCAGGGCCAGCAGCTAATTAGCGTTAATCACCTCCAGCCGAGGGCTGCCCGGTGCACAGCCCGACTCCGCCGCGCTCCCGAGCGGGGGCAGCGCCCCACGGCCCGGCGCCGTCCCTCAGCCACAGCGGGGGCGGCCGAGGGCACTCGGCCGGTTCAGCCGGGAGGAGACTGACGGGCGAACTCTCTGAGGGCTGCACAGGGGCAGCGCAGGGGCAGGCACTGATCTCCGCTCTGGGGCCAGGGACAGGGCCCGAGGAACGGCTGGGGCACGGCTGGGCATCAGGAAAAGACTTTCACCCGGAGGGTGGTCGTGCACAGAACTCCCGCAGGCAGTGCTCACAGCCCCGAGGCTGACAGAGTTCCAGGAGCGTTCGGACAACGCCGTCGGGCTCGTGGTGACGCGTACGGCGCCCGTGAGCTGCTCTGAGGGCTCCCCGGACCCGCCCTCACGGCGCCCGTGAGCTGCTCTGAGGGCTCCCCGGACCCGCCCTCACGGCGCCCGTGAGCTGCTCTGAGGGCTCCCTCAGTCCCGCCCTCACGGCGCCCGTGAGCTGCTCTGAGGGCTCCCTCAGTCCCGCCCTCACGGCGCCCGTGAGCTGCTCTGAGGGCTCCCTCAGTCCCGCCCTCACGGCGCCCGTGAGCTGCTCTGAGGGCTCCCCCGGTCCCGCCCTCACGGCGCCCGTGAGCTGCTCTGAGGGCTCCCCCAGTCCCGCCCTCACGGCGGCGCGAGCCCCGCCCGTGCTCCTCACGCATGCGCGCGAGTGTCCTCGCCCCCCCCCCGGGCCGGGGCTGTCACGTGAGGCGGCGGCGGATGCGGTTCCGGGTGAGCGCGGGCGCGCAGCGCGGCGCGGCCCCGAGCGCGGCCCGGCCCCGCTCCCGCCAGGTACGGCCGCGGAGGGGCGGGAGCGCCGGGCCGGCAGCCGCCAGCCGCCAGCCGCGGCCCGGCTGCGCGGGGCGGGCGCGGGGCGAACCGGGGCTGCGGCCCGACCGCAGGTGCGCGGGGGGCGGCGGATTCAGCGCTGTGGCCTGGCCCGGCCGGGCCGGCGGCGGTGAGCAGGGTCCCCGCGGCCCGGCAGCTCCTCGGCCGCTCCCCTGCGCCGCTGCCGCCGCACGGGGGAGGGCTGTGAACGCGGAAATCTCCGAGGGGACAATCCCCTGCCCTGCCCCCTCAGGATTTCGCCTAGCGCGGCTGTACAGAGCCGTGTCGCGGAAGTCAGAGTTGCTTTCTAGTGCCTTTTGTCTTAGTTCCTCCTGATTTCCTGTTATTAAGTTAAATAATGGTTGATTATTTCTGGTTGACTTGTATGCGTGTTTAAGTCGTGCAAAGGAATATCTGGGCAGGGTATAAATCTTTTGGCAGTGTTTACCTCTAAATAAGTTTGGCGCAGAAAGACAGACCCTTCTGTTGCTCTGGATGTGGAGTTTAAAGGAAGCAAGAGTTTTCAGAAGCTTTCTCTTTTAGCTGTCTGAGTTCTTTGTGCTTTGATGCGGAGAGAAGGGAGTAAAAGGAGACAATTGATCTGTTATTAACTGTAGCCCTTTTGCAAGTGGTAAAGTCTGGAGGTCCATCTTCAGGTTTGGGAAACTTGTCCTGGATTTATGGCAAATCTGGCCATGTTCTAAAAGCCACTGGAATTATAGAAACATAAAGAAATTGCAGTGAGCTGCATCCTGTGAGTTTGTACCAGATGATGTGTCTGCTCCTTGCTTTAGGCTTACTGTAAAGTCAAATGTGAAAATTATCTTAAAAGCATCTCTTTAATGCCTGGAATTAACTTGACACTCAGTTAATGTTTCTGTTGACACAGAGGAGTGAAATGTAGGGGGGGGAATGTAGGCTAACCTTGTTTTGAAGTTGATTTTGACATTTTGAGATGGAAACAACTTTCTGTTCTTCGCCTGTCGAGTACATTGTTCAGTAAAAATGCTTGACATTGTAATTGTCCTGCAAAGTTAAACTTTGTATTTATTCTATTTTAGATGCAGGGGTGCTGATCAAGTACTAAATATAGGTGTTTGTATTGGATAGGCAGATGAGACCATAGAAATGTCTGGCTTGTAATTATTTGTGTGCTTGCCTGAGAACTCAGAGGTGAAAACCTAAATAATTTTTGCAAGCAGCCTTTAACTTCATTAATAAAATGACCTCATGCTTTCTGTTGTCCTTCTCTCTGACCCCTGTTGTCACCCCTTTTTTTAGGTATTTGGGACAGACCCAAGTCTCTGTTTAGCTGTACTGTAAATTTTTATAAATGGCATTTTTTAACAGGCTTCTTAACACTGTTGTACTTGATATGCCAGCTAAGGCAGCTTGGTATTAATGGGAGAACTTTGATAATGACCTATTATAGGAAAAAAGGATGAAAACACTGGTGTTCGGCCTCTGGTGCAAGCAGTGACATTCTTCAGATGCAAACTTAAGTAGGTTTAACCTGCTGTTCTGGAATGGAAATTTGTTTATTAGCTGTAGTGAAAGAGCAGTGGGTTTGAGTGATGTAATACCTTTTTGTAACACCATACCTTGCCTGTTGAGATACTTAAAAATATAAAAGGCATTGTACAGTACTAAAATCCAGTGGCTCCAGTGGGAGAACGGAACCTCCTGCAACCCTGTCTCCAGATATTCTTTGTGTTGAAGTTTCTGACCTTTAGGCAACTCTCCATCTTCAATTTCTTTATGGAAAATAGAAAGTAATGAGCACTGGAGGATAAGATCAGGCTTGCTGTACCTTTTTGAGCTGGCTGTGAATAGTGCTAGGATCAGGTACAAATTATTTGCTTTTTTCCTACATGACTGATAAATACTTGCATGATTAAAATTTATATTTTCCAAGTTACAGTTTTAGATTTACGGCTGAATTAAAATGGCTTTGGCATTTTAAAAACATGTCAGCAGTGCCACAGCACAGGTAGAAAGACTATTCTAAACTTAGCTTTAGTTTGCGTAAGCAGAAGTAGTTGTTTTTTTTTTTGCCTGCTAGTAAACATTTATATTAGTTGAGGTAAAATAGCTCTGAAGTCATCACTTCTCTAACTTTCTTGAAAATATTACTCTTCCTTCTTGATTTCTCATTCTTCTAGTTGACAAGTGACAGTGATTTTATAGGTGAGACTTGAAGTCAAAACATCCAAACCAGCTACTTAGTCTGTGTGACAAGTAGGATGCTGACAACATACATTCAGTCTTACCTGAAGCTGAACTCCAAGCTTGCCTTGTAAGTTTCTTTCAGGTGTTCTACTTGGTACTTAGCAAATGATTGCTTCATAATCTACCTTAATGAGAAGCTGCTGTTGAGAATCCTGCAAGTAGTGTGAGGAGTGTTCCATGAAAACTCCCTAAGCTTAGGTAACATCACCAGTAGCGTTTAAACTCTTGTCTTAGTACAACAGGTTTATCCCAGTGTGATGAAGTAAGTGCAGGTGGAAATGCTTCTGCACTGAAAGGCTGTCCATTTGAAATTAATAGGTGTTACTTGGTGTTTGGTGTTCTTCAGAAGTGTGGGAAGAAAACTGTTCAAGTCTTGCAGCAAAGCCCTGCTTTCAGCTGTCTGAGAACTGTATAGGGAATGCAGTGCAGGTGAGCTCAAGGGGAACATCTTACAGCCACCAGCATAGTGACAGGCTTGGAGGGGGGTGGAGGTGGTATTTGGGTGTTTTGACTGCCAATTTTTTGTCCTTTAACAGTGAAGTCATGAGTTAAGATTTTCTTTCAGGTTTATAGTCACCTGCATATTTGTATCAGCTGGTTTGTTCCATGCTGCTGGAACCAGCAGCCTTCTTCCACCACTGCCTTCTCCTGACTGCTGAGGGCCCCTGGGGAAACTCCTTGGGCTTCATCTCAGTGTCCTGAAACGAGCACACATTCACTGTTACTGCTGATCTAAATGTGATCTTCCCTCTGAGCAAATATTTAAAATGCTCTGTTGCAGCCAGCAGGTTGGTGGCCAGGAGTATCCACACCTTGTATGCTGAGAACATCATCAGCTTGGTGAGAGGCAGGACTTGTTTCCAAGCAGTGCTTTAGTCAGGACAAACAGGGAGAGCTGGGAGGGCAGTGGCTGGGGCAACGGCTTCACACTGCTGAAGAAGGACAAGTGAGACGTGCAGGTGCTGAATGTCTCAAACAAGGAGAGTTTGTCCCTTCAGAGGAACTAGGTTCCTAACTTGTAGAAGTTTGATTTAAATTTTCTGGATGAGGATGCAGGGAAATGTCAGTAAAACAGGCTTAAATTGAGCTCATTAGTGCTTAATTTGTAGTACTGCAGTTTTACAAAAAGATCACTTAATTTTCTTTACTAGTCAACTTGCATAGCATAGCTTTAAGCATTGCAGGACGTTTTAAAATGAGGTCAGGAGCAGAAAAAAATTGATTTGTCATGAAAGGAAAGCTGGTGCTACAGAACAGTAAGTGTAATTTGGTTTTCAGCCAGTTAAAAAAATGATATCTCTGGGTTAGTAAACCAGTATTGGTTGCATTCAAACTTTGTACTTACTGCTGTTCTGTGTTGATTGGTTCTTTGCAAAATACCACTGTTTCTTGTTTTGATGTGTGTTGGTTTTCTTAATACATTCATTGATAAGTTTATCTGTTTCTGCCAATCTTTAGAGCCAACACAGCCAAGAGCTTCATCTGATTTGGACTTTTATGTCAGCATAATGGTTTACCATGTTCTATTATTGGGGATTCCTCATTGCTGGTGATGGGTGAGCCTGAAAAACTACAGCTTTACTTGCACATCATAGGGTGAGTTTTCCAAAAACACTGTCTTAAATAGTTATTTTTAAAGTGTTTGTGTTGTCAGAGGTTTGTTTTTTTTTCTTTTTAAATGGCTTGTAGTTGAGATCTGACCGTCTGGACTTTTTCTCAAAATATACACTTATTAATTGTCCCCTATAGAATCTACAGACAATTCAGGTTTCTTACATTTTGGAGTGAACTGGTGTATCATTTATGATTATAAATGATAGAACTAATTGCTCAAGGCCTTAATTTTAACTGAGGGATTGATCCTCCTTGACTGCATGAAATCCCTTCCAACCTAAATTATTGTATGATAAACCATTCCACAAGGAGTTTTGTAGGGGAAAAAAACCCTAAAATACAAACAAACAAAAAACTTTTCCTTGTATTGTTTTCTTTTTATTCTGCATCATACCTCAACTTGATGATAAGTTAAAGGATGTGTTGCAAGTATGGGAATTGCCACAGTATTGAAATAACACCTTCTGTTATATTCCTGCAGCTCCTCTTTAGCCCATTGTGCTGAAGCCAAGAGGTTCTGCCTGATCAGGAGTCTCTGCTAGCAATTTAAGTGAGCTGGAGAATGGAAGGAGTTGAGTTTAAAGAAGAGTGGCAAGATGAAGATTTTCCAAGGTTTTGAATTATTTTTTAAAGTAATTTGGATCAAACACATATCATCAGCAATAAGCTACCTCTTGGTCTTCCTGGTGAACTAATACTCAGTAATAATCTTGAAGTCATTTCCATTAATATACTTGTTTTGGAAAGGTTTTATGGCATATTTCTTCAGGATTGCCACCACTGACGTTTCCAGTGTTTCTGAAATGAAGATTTGTAAACTTGGCTTTATTTCCTGTGATAATATTTTGCAACTACGTTGTTTGCATATTATCCCAGTGCCTGAAGGCCCAAATATTTCATTAAGTACAATTTCTGAGGAAGTCTTTAAAAGTCAATGTTGCTACTGAAGCCTGGGACTACAAAAAATTAAATCAGCTTTAGATGCATTCTATGATAACATGACTAAGCTATTTGTGTAATTTATTTCAAGTCTAATTTTGTCAAGCAAGAATGTGACAAGTTTTCTTAAGGATGACACTCTGGTTGTAGTCAGTGTTTTGGTATTTGTCACAGGATGGGATGGTCACTTAAATGCTATAAAGGAATTTTCTGCTGCCTTGGTGTTTGTTAAGTGAAAGTTTGAACTTAGGCTGTAAGTAAAGTTAATTCAGTACTAACTTTACAGTGGGTTTTTGTAGTAATATGTAAGTCTTAATATATGACATTACAAAAGAGGTCAGAGCAGGTTTTTAACAATAATTTCCTTGTGTCCCAGGCCCCTGCCGGAGGATGATCCTGTTGAGTCTGATGCATTGGCTGCAGCTGGAACAGAAAGTGAAGCTGGTAAGAAAATTTCACTCCAGTCCAGCTGTCTGCTTTCTATGTAAATGCTTGTTTTAAAGCTCCTTGGTTTGTGGGGATTTTTTTGCTTGTTTTGTTTTCGGGGTTTTGGGTTTTGTTGGGTTTTTTTTTCATTGGTTGGAGTTTTGGAGGTTTTTACATTTAAATTTTTTTTTTTGGATTTTGTCCATCTGCTTTACTGCAATATTTTCCTTGTTCCTTGAAGCATTCTGTCTATTCACAGAACAGATTCTTTAATTTTATGTCCTCACTGTTGTCTGTAAGTCTTTTTTTTTTTTTTTTTAGCTTGTATATTATTTTCTATTTTATCAAAGTTGGTTATGATGTCACAGAAGCCTAACAAAAGCAAGTGCTAGAGACATGAATCTGTTGTATTACTTGCCAGATTTATTCAGTGTAATATCTGGAGCAGCTCTGGGACACTTGGATGAAGCAGGCAGGGGTGGTAGTGTCTACTACCCTGCTCAGACTCTGTGTGTGCAAAAACTTGAGAACTTTTAGCTGCTGTTCTTTCCATCCCCTATTAAAGTCTTACTCCAAAGAAAGTTTAAATTACGGGCAATGATTTATAATGTATTATGAGAAAGGACTGAGCTCTTCTGTCTAGGTAATATGCTTATCTTAACTTGTTTTAGCTTTGAAAATAAATAATTTGCTTTCTTTAGATACAGAGGGCGATGGAACCAAATTGAGGAAGAAACTAATGGTTCCAGATACTAGCTTGACTTTGGATCCTGGTGGGGAATCTGTTTTGTCTGATGACTTGGATGAGAGTGGAGAGATTGATTTGGATAATTTAGATACTCCTTCAGAAAACAGCAATGAATTTGAATGGGAAGGTGAGTATTTTGGTTCTTTTGTCTGATACTCTAAAATATTTTCTTATGTGCAGGTCAGCTGTTTCTCTAGTAAGAAATAGCTATGATTCAATAGTACAAGAGGAGAAATACAAAGGAAGTTATTAGATTAGGAATTAGAAATACATGCAGTGACTTTTTAAAGAGCAAATCAGATCTCATCTGATTAGTAAACAGGCAAACAGTTACTAGCTGTAACTGCAGATAAACTTAGGTGAGGATCATGTACATATGCATCTAGAAGACTTGAAGTTATGTAAAATCCTCTATTGCAGTAAGAACTTCATTAACAGGAAGAACATCATTGCAGTAAGGTTTTAAGAATCACCCAACAGAATAAAGTACCTAAGGTATTTTACATGTGTCAGAAATGAGTTTTAAATGGAGGGAGCCAAACAAAGGGATATAAATTAGCTACTCAGAAATTTCTGAACTGCCATTTAAGGAGGACTTAAATAATAACTTAGTATTTTAAAAATACTAAGTAATACCTGATCTCAAATCTTCTTTGGTAAGAATGACAAAAGCTCAGTAGCCTTAGAGTATGCATATTTGCATACCGACTAGAGGCAGTAGAAGAGCCTCTATTTTATGTCAAGGAATTCTGGAATGACTTCATAGGAATTTAAAGTAGTCATAGCCACACTAGTAATGATCTCAGTTTTATTATTAATATCTTGAAGTTTTAAAACATTAATAGGTGATATATCTTACAGGCAAAACAGTGCAATTGTAATACATTTTATTTGAGATAAACATTTTGTGTAGGACTTAAAGCACAAATTTTAAACTTGGGAGTTTAATGATGTCTTAAGGCCCTCTTTTTGGAAGCCAAGAACAGTTGTGTTGGGCAAATTGTTGGAGTCTCTAACATCTGTAAACTTCATGGTTTAGGAATGTCTCTAATAAGTAAATATGTAAACTCAATTATTATATTCTCATTCTGAAAAGAAAATAAATTCCTGATTTAACAGGAAGTTCTCTTTTCACTGTTATGTTTGAAACACTACCTGTGGAGAAAGAAACACTCTTTAGAATAAGGGGGTGGTTTTGGTTTTTAAATAGCTAAAGGCATATTGCAGTGGAAGTTTTCTTAACAGAGACTGTGTGTTTAAATTTGTAAAAGGATTTTCACTGTTTTAATGAAGAAGAATTGGTATTTAGGGTTACTTTTGCAGTGATGCAAAGGAATTATTCCCGATATTTGTGTCTTGTTTTTAAAAGTGGCTGAAAAGGGTTTCTGTCTTTTCTTCCTTTAATGCTGCTGCCTTCATTTTCCTGGAAGGATAGTTTCAATTAACAGCTTTGTTTCGGGAGCAGACAACTAACTTGCAGTAGGTTTTTCTCGCTTTGGGTAAGGTCCATGCAACCAAGTCAAGAATCATAATTTCATTGGAGCAAATTGTCTTACAGATTCCTCTCAGCACAAATTCAATATATTTTGATTGCACATGTGAATTAGATTTAATTTCCAATAGATTTGTCTGCATGTCTGCTTGCAAGGTACCTCAATGTTTTAAATCATGCTTCATGTAAATCTGTGATCAACCTCTGTAATTCTCATTGGAGTTAACCACTTTGTCTATTTTGGTGAAATTCATTGAGGTCTGTGTTCTGAAAGCCTACACTTAATTAGGCTTCTCCACAAATGGAAAATTTTCACATACTTGTAATAGACAAAATTACAGTCAACAGATAACTGCCAACATGAGTATGTTCATAAAATATCCGTGACATCAGCTGGTGTGTCTGGCTGGCTGAAGAATACCAAAATTGATTAGATAGCAAAGTGGTTAACTTGTGTTGTGGCTGATTGTCACTATGCATGGTATTCATAATGGGTCTTTCAACATGTTCTCATTTTGGCAGACGATCTTCCAAAACCAAAAACTACTGATGTCATCAGGAAGGGCTCACTGGCTGAGTACACTGCGGCAGAGGAGAAGGATGACGGCCGCCGCTGGCGCATGTTTCGGATCGGAGAACAGGACCACAGGGTGGACATGAAGGCAATTGAACCATACAAAAAAGTTATCAGCCATGGTGGTAAGGATTGGTGATGTGCTGTGGGGAACTGCTGAGCAACTCCTTTATAGGCTGAGATGGGGAGGCAGAGGAAGAGCTTTGGGCATAAAGACTTCTGGTAATTCATTTGTTGCAGTGTTAAGACATGGTTGATAAAATATTTTTTCTCTATTAAAGTTCCAAAATGTACACATGGTCACATGTACTAAAATACACCTATTTAATAAGATATATTTACTCTGTTCTACAGTGTCACTGCTACCTAATTTTTTGGTTTCTAGACTATTGAAAACATTAACTATCGATCTGCTAAGACAGAAATCAAATCATTATTCTTTCCAATGGTCTGTAAAGTTTAGGCTGAAAGAAAAGTTAATTAAGAACATAAGATTTTATTAAATATATGAGGTTCTACACCAAAACGTTGGTTATAGATAGAGTGATTGACATCAGCTTCAGCTGTTGCTTTAGAAGTAGACAAACTTGAAAAATACCTTGATGTTTTCTGTAACTGTATGAATGTGTCCATATGGATGTGTGTGCATCTCTTTAAGGTAAATAATGAAAAAGCTTACTGAATGTGCTTGGCTTTGTGTAAATGTAGTCAGTGTATTGTCACCTTTGTCACTACTGCTGCTTATTTCTTTTTAGGTTATTATGGTGATGGATTAAATGCCATTGTTGTGTTTGCTGTTTGCTTCATGCCTGAGAGCAGCCAGCCTAATTACAGATACCTAATGGACAATCTGTTTAAGTAAGTCATCATATGCCTTTCTTTTTTGTTATTTTTAGTATATTTGAGCACTACTAGGAGTTAACTTCAATATCTGCAATCTTATCTGAAATTTTCTTTGCTTTCTCTCCAGGTATGTAATTGGCACTTTAGAGCTGTTAGTAGCAGAGAACTATATGATAGTTTACCTGAATGGTGCAACAACACGGAGAAAAATGCCAAGTTTAGGCTGGCTTAGGAAATGTTACCAGCAAATTGATAGAAGGTAAGAAGCTCTGCAATATTTCCTTACAATATTCACACACTCAGAGACAGACATATTTAGGAAAAGCTGCTGTTTAATGTGGTCTCTTCTGGTTAAGATTTGATGAAGGAAATTGGTGTATTGAAAACATCTTCCTAAGCTAGGCAATGTGGGATGATGCTACAAACATGCCTGGGTAGTGTGTGGTGGATTTTTTTGGTTGGTTAGGGGTTTTGTGTATGCTTTTTGTTGCTGTTGCTCTCAGGGTGTTTAGTGAAAATAGTACTCTTAGAATACTGAATATTGTTATCCCGTAGAACATCCTTACAACTTAATGTATTAGTATAAGGTTAGTAAGAGAGGTCCTTTGTCAACCACTTCATTGTTAGTTCTGTAAAAAGATTCAAAGAAGCTTCTCCTTGGAGTATTATTTCCTTGTCAAATTGATACTGACTCTTTAGTTTTTATTTTACAGTTGTGTAGTATTTTTTCCTCTGATGGAGCTTGAATTCTAATAATGGGATGTCAGAATACTGTGTTTATGTGACAGTTTTGCTTCTAAAAACATACTTCTTACATATTACAAAACCTCTGGTCATGCTGCCTTTTTGTTCTAGTAATTATCCATTGTTTAAATCCTTCAGGTTAAGGAAAAATCTGAAATCATTAATCATAGTTCATCCTTCCTGGTTCATCAGAACTCTTCTGGCCATCACAAAACCTTTTATTAGGTAATGCCCTGGAAGCTTTTTAATAATTCTGACAACTGTTTGCTTTGAACTTAAAAGACTGTTTTAATATTGACCTAGTGAAAAATGTTTAGAGTTGTAACTGTACCCTGCATTTGTTCTTCCACAGCTCAAAATTCAGCCAAAAAATTAGGTATGTCTTTACCCTGGCAGAACTAGCTGAACTCATCCCCATGGAATACGTTGGCATCCCAGAATGCATAAAACAGTACGTGTTATTATTCTAACATCTTCTACATTGATCATGGTTTAGGACTGGTAGATGTTGTAATCAGTGTTTGGTTTGAATGTAACACTTGGCACACAATGACTTGAATGAGATTACTGCTCTCTTTGGGAGTGTCCATGTGTGACCTCATTGCTAAAGGCAGTTTGGAATGGAAATGTGTAGTCATTTTCAGAGTGGAGCTTTGTGCCATTACTAAGTTGTGGTGTGTGAATTAAGCCTTCTAGAGAAGGTCTTATTGCATTTGTTCTGCACCTTAGTGTGTATATCACTCATTGCTTGTGAGTGGGAAATTGTAGGCATGTGGATACTGAAGTTATTTATAATGTCTTCTAAAGCATTTTCAGTAAAATGTGGAACAACTTAAGTGCTGAAATATCACTTGGATTGGGGTTTCATTTGAAGAAAGGTGATGGAAAAATGCTGAATCCCTACCCACTACAGTTCTAAACTACTTTGGTAAAGAAATGAAGACAAAATCAGCGTAATTTTTCTTCCTTCCCTTCCAGATAAAAATGGCCATTTTAACATCAGCACAATTCTGCTGTCAAAGATTATGATCCTTTTGTCAAAAGCATTTGTGTATGCAGTAATAGAGTAGAAACTATAAACTTGGGTCTTAAGAAAACCAGATGAAAACACTAACACAATCCTGATGACAGCCTGTTAGAGGGTATGACACACAAACCCTGTCTTGTCTGCATTGTAATAGGTGAGACAAACTGGGGGAAGGTGGCCCAGTGTCATGAGGGCACATCCCTGCTGGACAAAGCCTCGTGCCCCCTGCAGATGGCTGGTTTTTCTCAGTAGACATCTAGCTGCTTGTCAGTTCCACAGTTTAACTCTGTAAGACAGAAAAACAGTTTTCATGGGGTGGGAGTGAAACACGTGACAAAGCTGAGGCAGCCTTGTGCTGTCTTTAGACTTTTTTTGACTGGGGTTTTATTTGAGGGTGTTAAGAATATTCAGACTGTCATTCTGAGTTTTAAAAGATTTCTCTCTCTATTGATGAACCTTTTAACTGTTCTGCAAAGTCTGGACATGGTTAACTTAAAGAGTTAATTCTCAGATTTCTGTGGAGGATTATATCTGGCTTCAAACTGTTAGGGATACAGACTAAATTCTAGTGATGAATGCTAACTCTGTACAAGAGGTCATATTGAATTCATTTGTTATGTCATAGTAACTAAATCTTAATGGGTTTTTTAAATGCTAATAGAGGTTGGAGGTACAGTGTGGGTTTTTTTTAAATAATTATATCAGTTTCAAAATTTGGTAAGTTTCTGCAAATTCTATTGACACTAATACTGGTTTGCAGCTTCTGTTGATTTTGACCTTCATATATTACATTTACTGAAACAAAACTTTTCCTCACCAAGGTATGAAGAAGAAAAGTTTAGAAAGAAACAGAAAAGGTATATTCATCTTTTGATTAGGGTTGCATCTAGATAAGACAATTTGCACTGCAACTAACTCCCAGTTGATTGGCTTGCATAAAGGAATAAGCATTTGTAAATATAAACATGCACTAGTGCCCAAGTGTTTATGCATGACAGCAACTATGCTGTACTTGCAGGCAGTATGGAATCTGTAAGAACTCACCCTGGGTGTTCAGACAGCTATTTGCAAATAGTTTCTATTACACTTTTATGTGAGATACTCACTTTTAAGGGGATACATGGGTTCTCAACTTGAAGTCTTTAAGAGGCAAAAGTAGTGCTTCTGTATGAACCCATTAAAGCAATGTCATTGTTTCTAACAGGAATTGATTTCATCTACAGGAGATGAGCTGTATTTAGGTGCTAAGCTGTAGCTATGCATTAGCAGAGATGCAACTCCATAAGAAGTTCTAATATTGAATCCTGTATTTTTGGTATTTGCTACTTTTTTAGTTATTAACTTGCATAGATGCAATCTAAATTAGTATTTTAGTGCTGTTTGTATTTGCAGTGCCTATGTTCCTTCCTAATAAATACTGGATTTCCATTTTGTTAATTTCCAGTCTCCTGCTAACTATTCAAGCTATTCCACAGCTGATAAATTTTTTAATGGATATGTTATTTTTTCACTTACTAACAAATAGACTGAAAGATTTTGCTACTAACTTTGCAGTTTTTTTAATCACTTTTCCTTTGTGTACATAACTGTTAAGGTTTATTGTCTAAATTGGGTAGAGGAACACTGAGATTTAAGTAAAAGGAATTTAAATTATTTCTGGAAACTCGCATGTAAATCTAGTGATGTGTTGAACATTCTACAGGAATTATTCCAATTAAGGGATAATGTAAAAAATCTCTAGTAGAACAAGCACTTTTTAGTGTCCTGTTGATAATTTCACCTATACTACTGTCACTCTTGTAAAAAAGTAATATGTTCTTCAGTGCAAATTAGGTCTAGAGATCACAGGAAGAATTGGATACTGAGCCTTCAGTCAGGTAGAAAACAGTTCCTTTTTATGGATTTGTGGCCCAAAGGAGCTGTCAGTGTTTCTATCATTTTGAAAAACTGGCTGGTTATAGTTTGAGAAACTGGACAGGTATGTTAAACAGATTATTAGATGTAGTGTCTCACTTTAGAACTGCTGTTGGTTTTAAAATTAATTTACCTCCCTGCACAACCTGTTTGCCAGAAGATGTTACAAGATTGTAGCTTGTTCTTACTGTAAAGAGGAAAAGTACATTTTGTGCAGGGTTTCCAATCATCTCCTTGTTTCTGCAAAGCAGCGTTTTGTTTGCTGGTCCCAAGGCAGATAGTAAAAAATAAGGTACAAAATCAAACCCACTTTTATCAGCATGATGGTGAATTCTTCCAGGATAATTGCAAGAGTCTTAGAAGTTAATAGAAAAAGTATTGCAGTTAAGGAGCCTCTTCACTTTTGTTAATTTAACTAGTGCTGTTACCTTTAATGTTATAGTAATTAAGTCAAGAAGGTAATTCAATGCTTATGAATTCATCAGAGTGGTAGTGCTTGCCAGTATTGTCATGTTACCTATACTGTATTCCTGCTTGCATTTGTTACTATGAGCACAGGCCGTGCTTTTTTCTTGTAGTCAAACCTCACTTGCATTTTTAAAATGTTTCCTCTCAAGTGCTGTAGTTACTTAAATGGTTTCCTAACAATTTTAATTAATTTCTAGGGGGTGGTAGGAAAATAGATATTGAAACAAGCCCAAACATCATGACTACATTAAATAAAAACCTTAATTTAATATTTATTTACTAAAATGTTTCCCACGTAAAAGCTTTGTGTTTTCCTGTTAATAGTTTTTTTAATAATATGAGCTATCAAACTATGTTAACACAGTTTAATTTTACTACTTTCTTTGCTAAGCAGAGTTGACCAAGAGCTGAATGGGAAACAAGAGCAGAAAAGTGAACAGTAAGTTTGGAGTCCAAACAAGACTGAAGAATACACAGATGGAACGATGCTGTTTGTGCTCCATTACAGTGCATTCTCTGTGTGTATGTATTATATAATCTGTTGCAAAAGGTGCTTTGGACTAGCACACAATGAACTGCTTACTGCTGTATTGGTTTGTCTTGACTTTAATTGCTGTTTATGTAATCGTTTTATATTGCTAAATGGCAAAGAACCCTATGTTTTCAGAGGATGTTCTTGCAGCTGTTTATCTAAATGATGCATGTTCTTCAGTAAAATATTTATATACCTAAATGTTAAAGGAAAGAGATAATATATATATTTTTATGACTGAGCAATATATTGTGTGTACCTGCTGAAGGAATTCATTTGCAGGTAGACAAGGCCCTAAGTTACTTGTTGTTATTGTATAAATTTGTTTTGCTGTAAATGGTCGAGTGCATTTCTGTTGTCATGAAAACTTGTTTGGATATTAACAATCACATTAACTTGGCTTTCACAAATACAGAGATCCTTATTTTTGTTCATTTACCATGCACAAGCTCACTCCTTTGCCTCACCAGAGTGAGCTTCACCTTTGATGTCTTTCAGTCCATAATTCAGGCTGCAGAACTGCAGTTCTGTGGGTGACAGTTTGTTTAAGCCTAAGCCACAAAAGCTGAGCTGTCTGACTGGTAAGATACCAGAACGTTTTCAGTTGAAGTTGTGAATTTAGATTCTGCTTCAGTATGTCAAGATTGTCTCAGCGAGCAGTAGGAAATAAGTTCACTGCAGTTCTTTGTGGATGAATCTTGATTGTTTCTGGTGGGAACTCTGGTCATGCTCAGTAAAACTTGGGAGCTACACAGGTATTCTAGCCACAATACCATTTTTTAGGCAGTAATATGAGAAGTCTTATGCTACCTATGTCATTCTTGTAGATTAAACAGCCATTTCTAAAGCTGTTAGGCACTAATTCATCTTTTAAGAAGTGTTTTAAAGGTTGGGGTGTTTTCACTCCCCGCAATGGTGGTAAATCTGTGTCTGCAAGAGGTCTTCTTGGACAAAACTAGTGTGTACAGGTTTACTGGGACAACTGTAATGCACTGGTTGATACATTGTAAAAGTTTGTAATATCTTTTGATAAACATTGCATTTTCCATGTAAGGGCAGGTGTATGCAAATAAATTCATTCAGGAGTTGAGCAATATAATATGTTGTAGCAAGTATATTAAATCTTTGCTTTTGGTGTTTATTGTGCTCACAATTTTGTCTTAAGGCTAAAAAATACCACTTTTTAATTATATTTAATGTTACGCAGTTACTTTATTTTAAAAAAAGTTATGTTCAATCAGATTATTACATGACATTGATAGACAGCAGTTGTGAGACATTCCCTGGACAAGACTTACCAAGTAACAGTTAATCCACTGTCTCCAGTGATACCTGCAGAGACTGAGAGCACATGGGTGTCAGGTGCATCTCCCTGGATGTTTACTTAAATCTGCAGTTCAGATACTTTCATCTCAAGATCTAAGTCCTTTTGTTGCAGTAGTTTCTGTATCAGAGTTTCAAGGAGATTGATAGGCAGGATTTATTCACACAACAGACAATACCAATGCAAGTTATCTTGCATCCACTCCATCAGGTTTGGATCTTGCTTTGAAAGCAGAAGACAAATGCACTTTCTTTGGGGCTGTCTTACCTCCTGCTTCAGTTTTGATGTTGACACAGGTTAATGTAAAGTTCAAGTCAGTACATGCAGCCTGTTTGCTTCTGATACTTCTGTGGTGTGATCTATGACCATGCTAATCTGATTTTTACTGGGTTGGCATGTGTCCTAAGCTAAACAGGAAGCATTCTGGTAATCTCATTTCCATTTTTTCCTAATTGATAGAAGGATTAGTCTCAGTAAAATAATATTCTTTGTTGAAGGTATTGTAGTTCTGTGTCATGTGGCTTCCTGTGTGTATAGTGCAGTTCAGAGTAGCTGTTCCTCTGTATATGCCATTTACCAAATGATGGGATTGTTATTGTGTTTCCTGGTAGCCAAGGATTCTACAGTTTCATGCTGCAGTAGTATGATTTCTGTTGGAAATGTGTATGTGTTTATAAATGGTTTATTTCTCTAGTATAAGTTGTTGTGAATGAGTATACAGGCACAGCAGTTGTTCTGTCTCTAAAGATATGCAGCTTGAGAAAGAAGTGTACTAAAGAATTATTCCCCTCTGCCTTCCTGCAGCTCATCATTTAGTGGTGAGGTGGATGTTTACAAAAAGCAAAGTGGTCCCAAAGCTATGGATGTTTTGTCAAACTTAACTTTTTTGAAATCTATAATATAATGTAATATACTTTAATATTTAAAAACCTGAAAAGTTGGAATGTCATACTTAAATAAAAATTATTTCAAAACTTGAATCACTTTGTGGTAAGATACAGTATTGGAGGGAATTCACCTTTCAATGGCACTTCCTTCTAAAAGTAAGAGTAATTTTGCTAGAATTTGGTGACCCCTATCAAGAAAAAAATTCATGAGTCACTAATTTACCTCTGATTTGGAGGTCTCATTACTTTATATATATTTATATATGTAGTAATAAGTCATTACCTATCTCATTATTGCTGTGCACAGATGGAATAGAGATGTCTGGGCCAGTGGCCTCTCAATGTGACATTTCCTAATGATTTCTGCGACAGGGTAAATTCAGAAGTGGCAAAGAAATTCTGGAGAAAGTGTCATTAAAAATTGATGTGAGTAGACCCTGGATTTGCTTGAGTGTTCTTGATCCGTGTAATGTGGCAGAGCCATCTGTTGGAGGGTGATGGGAAAGGATTTATTGCTAAAGCAGATTGAAGAACTTTTATTCCAAAAAGGGTAGATAGAACTAGTTAGAATAATATGTAACCTTGTTCACAACAACACAGTTTGGCATATTTTTTCCTTTATCCTCAGTAAACAAGTGAAGAACAGCCCCAGTTGCTGTGAGGACCATGGTACTGAGAGACAGCAGCTACACCCCAAATTGCAGTCCACTAGGATATTGCAGCCTATATCCGTTTCAGCAACTTTGTTGCATCATGCCCTGAATGCTCTAATGACAGTTTGAAACAGTTTCAGCAGTTAATTGTGTCATACTTCAAGGTCAGATTACATGTGGTAGCAATGGAATCTTTTATGAAGCACCTCCAAGTATATAATGGACAGGAGAAGGTGTCATTGGTGCCTGGTCATGTCAGCTTCACTGATGATGTCTGCTGAAATGCCTGTACTTGACTGAAAAATATTGAACTATGCTGTGAATAGGCACTTTATTAACTAAATCTGTCACAAGGTAGAAAGTTTCTTGGTTAAATTTTACACTAAAAGAAACACACTTTTGTCAGTGTACCATACAGATTTATACAGTATTTAGTGTCTAGAAAGATGGTTTAAATTCATGTTTTCTCAAAAACTGTTATCTTTGGAAATGGCTTGAATTCTCACGTCATTCCAGTCTCCCTCAGAAACCTCATATGAGGAATGGAAAGGAGAGGGATAACAGCTTGCAAGCTTTTTGTAACACAGAAGCCTTACAAATCTTGCAGTCAAAATTCTTACTCGGTCCTTGTGGATGCAGGTCATTCTCAAGAGGATTTGCTTCCCTAACTGCTTGTCAGAGACACTTGTTTCAAGTGCTTTAATTATACTTTTTAAGGACACCTTCTTTTAGTCAGAGGAACACTCTGAAATGTAAGGAATATTTAAATATTCATATTCTGAAAGACATCTTGCAGCTTTCCTAGCTTCAAAATTCTGTGTTGAACTACGCTATTTCTTTTATCACATCTCATTACCCATATTAAACTAACAGGAAAAAAGAGCATTTGTGAGGAGGTGCAGTCATGTTACTTTTTCATAATTCCCTTCAAGCATGACTGAGATCAGTGAAATTAAAGCCATTCTTTGCTCAACTAGATTTTTTTTTTCAGTTTTGCAATTTGAACTGCCCAGATAACTCTGATTTACATTTTTTTTTTAGTATTGAAAGTGATCTGAAGAGAAGCACACAGAGTACTTTCCAAAAGTCCTTATCTTACCATGTTCCTTACTCTTGCTTGCTCAGCTGCTAGTTAATACTGGTAAGATTGAATTCCAGGTTAATAATTACAAATAAATACTCATGGAGGACAGATGCTTAGTTTACCAGTGGTTCTGCGATTCTGCAATGTTTCTTTTCATTAACAAAACCTTTTTATCAGCAAGACCTGAGCAGTAAGGTGTTTTAATGGTTGAATTGTACTTGAAGGGTCAAGATAGAATGATTACGCTGTCAATTAGTGTTTGTAAACTTTACTGTGGGTGATAATGGGAAACGTGCAGGGTTTAACAAAGTGAAGCTGTAGTAATCATGCAAAAGCACGGGTTGTGAGTCATGGGTAATAGAACTGGCTTAATTGGGCTAGTAACACTCTTCACAGGTGTGACTATTTTCCTTTGTCCCTTTAATAGAAAAAATATAAGGAGAAGGCTCTTCACCTACCTCTTAAGACTACTATGATCCTTTCTTTTTAAATGAGCTTGCCTTCTGCGTTGCAGGGTGTCCGGGGTGCTGTGCTGAGCACGGTGTGAACGTGCTAGCGGTCATTACTGAGGGGCTATTTCTGACGGGCTCAGCCGTGTCCCCTCAGGGGCCGAACCGGGCAGGGACGCCGCGCCGGGCCGGCCCCGCCCGTTCCGCTTCCGCGCCGGCGGGGCGGGGCCGCGCTTCCGGCCGCGCGCGGTGAGGCCATGGCGGCGGGGCCGGGCCCGGGGCGGCTTCCCCGGGGGCGGCGGTGGGGCCGGGGCCGGGGCCGGGTGGGGCTTGGCGGGGCCGCGGTGCCCGGCTCCCGCCCGGGATGGCTCCCGCAGCCGGGCCGCGCTGTGCGCTGTGCGGCCCCGCGCCCGCGGGCCGGGCGGTGCTGCGGGCGCTGTTTCGGGCTGTGCGGCCCCACGGGCTCGGCTGTGGGGCGTGCGGGGTTCATTGTTGCCTTTGTTTGTTTTCAATGAGAGCGAGGACAGCACGGGCGCGCAGCCGCGGATGAGCAGGACGTGTCCAGCCCTCGCAGCGAACCATGGCGTATCAGCTCTATAGGAACACCACGCTGGGGAACAGCCTGCAGGAGAGTCTGGATGAGCTCATACAGGTTGGGGGCTTGCGGTCTGGGCGAGTAGCTTAATAAAGACAGAAGTTTTTATCCAAACGGTTTTGTTGTTCCTGTGTCGGGGTACTTATGGCGAAGGTTTGGGAAACTTCCTGTTTGAAACTGCAGGGGTTTGGTACTGTGATGTTTTTTTTTCTTTACATTCTGAGTAAAGTGTTCTATGTAGGTGGCATAATCTCATGTGGCTCAGTAAGTTAACAACCAGCCTAAGCTGGAACATTACAGTCAATTTGATGTTCTTCTGATTATTTCCAGTAAATATTTATTATGAGAGATCTTTGTGTAGTACAGGATTGAAATTCAGAAATGGAAATAAATACAGGAACGTAATTTTTTTTGGTAGCTTGTTCTTTTAGACATCTGCTGCATTGAACTTTGTTTTGATGTTTTTAACTTATACTGCATGTTTGAGCTTTTTTGAAACAACCTAAAATTTGTTTTCTTTTCAACTACTTCAGTCACAGCAAATCACACCTCAGTTGGCCCTTCAGGTGCTACTTCAGTTTGACAAAGCTATAAATTCAGCACTGGCACAGCGAGTCAGGAACAGAGTCAATTTCAGGGTAAGGAAATGATATCTTAAAGTTTTACATGAGATAGAGCAACTAAGTGTTGATGCAGAATGTCATTTAAAGCTGGATGCTCTAAGCCAGAACTTAAGAAGGTTCATTTTGGCTCTGATAATGACTGTTTACCTGTGTATTCAGTATGCAGCTGTAAGGCTCATTACCTTGTTCTGCCAGGGATCTTTTGAATAAATGCAAAAATCAGATGATGAAAACAGGGAAGAGGGAAATGCTTTTTTGGTGGATAACATTGCCATCCTCAGTGTCTTGCAGATGAGGAGGGAGCCTTCTGCTTCTCGCAGCTGTCCTAGCACAAGTGAGATGAGGCCAGATTTTCAGCCACAATGAGCAATGTGAAGAGAGACTAGACAGTTTTAGATCCACCCTTTCACTGGATCATTTTGTAGTTTATTTTCTGTAGGTATCATAGAAAATTAAGTTGGGGGGGTGTTCCCAGTCAGCCACCCTAATTGATGTTAGATAGCCAGCAAGTTGTTAAGTGTCAACTTGAATGTAATGTTAAGGAAAAAAGCACAAAACCCAGCTTCATATTAACTTTTGTTGCAATACTTCTCTACAGTGTATGTAGAGCACATCATGATGTGAGTGGGTTCATGAAAGACTAGATTTTTAAACAATATAGAGATGTTAAAAATAGCATCATTACTCCAGCACACTTAAATTGTTTTGCAGATGTAGTATGGTATAAAAAACAGTTTAGCATGTGTTTAGTGGATACATTTTAAAAACCTTACTTGGACCTTAAGTTCTAAGTTCAAGAATGTCAATTTAAAATATGTAAAAGTGAAGGTCAGAAGTTTTCCATAGTGTCATCCTCAGTAATACATCAAATAGGAGGGATACTCCTTTATGTCACATGTCACTTTTGTAATGATTTTTTTATTTAAATTACCACTTTGTTTAAGCAGTCACAGAATTCACATCTTGTTATGATCACTGCTGTGTGCTGTGATCATATCTGATTTTTCTAACGGCCCAATATTTTAAGAAATGTTTTCTGCTACTGATCCTTTGTATACATTAGAAAAATTGTAAAACTTTTTTGCCTACCTGGGGAGCCTCCCCTTGGATATCCTGTAATGGCACTCCATGGTCTTGAGAATTTCAGCCACTGGAGGGCATTTAAACTCCAGCTTTCCTCAGAACTGCTTGCTTGCCAGTTTGTATGCATTCACGTCCGCTGTTGGCCTTGTAGCATATGTGTTCTAGAAGGGACATAGTTCAGTAGATACTCATCATATTTTCTGTTGCTTTTGAGACGCATCCTGTAGAAAATGTCTCTTGTCTTTTTGTAGGGGTCTCTGAACACATACAGGTTCTGTGACAATGTATGGACATTTGTACTGAATGACGTGGAATTTAGGGAGGTCACCGAACTTGTGAAAGTGGATAAAGTGAAAATTGTAGCATGTGATGGAAAAAGTAAGTATGAAATATAATACAAATAGGCTGAGACACAAAACTTGATTGTTTTTAGAAAGCTTTGACCAAATGTCTTACTAAAGCCAGGTTGACTGTATGACTTAGACAGAAGTAGGGCTCTGTATTTCCCTTTACATCTGATGAGAGATGAAACAAAAGCCAGCTAAATACTTCCCTGACTCATAGGCACTGAGGTAGAATCATGTTAGGGACTGCTGTGCACCTGTTGCTGGGAAGTACATAATACTAGAGCAATTAGAAAGTCAGAAGCAATCTTTATTTTCTGTGTGGTGAGTTTTCTAGTACTAACCTATTTTTTAGGATAGTACGATGTTTTACTGAGTCTGAAGAGTGTTTCAGCTGTCTGAGCAAGGAATTGTCTGAGAGAAGTGTCTAAGCAGTCATTCTCTGGATTTGATAGTTGGGGACACAAAGCCATGAGAAGTTTTTGTGTGCATTTGCAAGTCATAAGACTTATTTGTTGCCTAACAGACCCTCTGTTTGTACTCTGCTTGTGAGAGTTTACAGTCCATATCTGCTTGACTGGATTACTTTTGTTCATGTCTCTTGAGATTCTTTACTGGAGAAAGTAATTCAGTGACTTTTGTGGCAAGCTGCTTCATAACTTTTAACACCATCAATGTGGCAGAGTATTGCTAAAACCATGTGAAATGGTGCTGCTTGTTTCATCCTCAGAGAGTGATGCTAAAAGCAGGAACTGAGCACGGAAAAAGCTTTATTTAAATGCACCATAGTCCTCTGAAACAGGTTCTTCATGGCTTCCTGACCCTGGCATGCTTACAATAGTCCCTTCAAGTTGTAGTTCTAAAGAGTTGACAGAATTTATTGTTTTCTCAACTTCTGGTATTAGCCAAGCATATAATCTTATTGCTTTGTTTTTGTGTGCTTATTATAGCTAGTGGAGGAAACCTAACTTTCCAAGTATTAATCATTTTCATTCCTGATAAATTGTGCAGATAAGATTTAAACAACTGGCTGACTTGAAGTTGCTATTAACACTACAGCCTTTTTTTTTTGTTCCCACGAGAAGCTGACTTGTTGAAGGAACAGTACTCTAAACACTGGCGTGTTGTTCTCCATATTTGAGTTACATACTTTTTCCACAACTCTAAAGACAAGAAAGCAGTAATGGTTCTGTATCAAAAAGTGCACTGGCATTAACTGGTGATTCTGATAAAAGGTCAGAACAGAGAATTGGTCTCAGCTGATTTAATGAAGATTGTGTTCATTCTTGCATCCATTTCAAAATAAATGACAAACTACAGCCCACACTCCACCAGAGGTTATGGTGCTGGATGTGCAAAAACCTTTTTCTTTAGTAGATGATAGCCAGATGTGCCTTGTGGCTGACTGCAGTAAAGGGTTTGTGTATCGTTACCTGTTAGAGCAAAACTTTCAGTATTTTTAATGTGTGCATCTACACAGCTCTGGAGTTTTGTGCTGCCTCTTCTCAGTGTTGCTAAGTGAAGTGAAACAGCACAAGCAGTTCATGCATGGCATTGAGAGCAGTAGAGATAATAGGGTAGGTACAGAACATGTTCTAAAATGCTTGGGGAGCACTTCAGAACTTGTGGAAGGTACTAGAGAAAGTTCTTGGTTCTCTGTTTTCAGTGGAGGTGTGTATTTGTCTCACTTTCTCTTTTCTTTCCTAGACACTGGTTCCAATACTGCAGAATGAATAGACCTGTGGTTTGTCTGCAATATTTTCTGTTAATATGCAGCACTTTCTGGAGAGAAGCATGGAAAGGGACTGATCATACTCAATTCCTGTGATGCAGATGTGAGTTAACCCATACTAGAAAGCATCACAGACTGACAGCGGAAGAAATACCTGTAGCATTTCTTCATTTCACCTTATAGGGCATGAATATAATGTTACTTTTTTTTTAATTACAAGAGATACTGTTGTCTTTTTTGTTCAAAATAATTTCTGTAATAAACTTTTATTTAAAAACTTTTGAAATGAGTGATCATTGGAAAACTCAGTTTAAAACTAGCATTAACATACCATATTTCCCCAAAATTTTCTAATTGTGTTTAGAGAAATGTTGCAAATGAAAAAGTTTCAGTTACAGGGTTCCAAGTGTGGTTGCACTGTCGGGTATTGCAAGAAATGTCTGTTACAGACCGATGGAGGAGGACATCAGCAAAAGCTTAGCAGCTCTTGCTGGGCAGCATGTTTGTGTGTTTATGACTGCAGTTTTCTGTCTATAAATAGCTCTGCTACGTGCCCTTTGCTGCACACTGCAGATTGGAACAAAAAGAACAGACAAGTTGCTTTTATTTCAATAGCACAATAAATATCTGTTGTTATCTTAAGGGATGCAAATGTGTATCTGTACCATGGTCTTCTCTTGTTCTACATCACTCAATCTTCTAGGTTTAAACTTTTTTTGTTTTCTAATAATCATGTGGTAAACTGAATTTCAACCCATACAAGTATAAAAATTTGCTCTTCTGATCTCCCAGCTACTTGTAGTCTCTTC